GCGCAAAAACTTTCGTGGCCCTGTACGCCCGTCTGACCAGTCCTGTCTGACCTGACACAGGGACGTCTGACCTTTCGAAGCGGTTTCTCTCTCATTTTTGTTTTCCTTTTTTATTTAAGCGCAGCTGCCTCACCTTGGAATGCTCGACCCCATACAAGTGTATGCGTCCACTGCAACTCCGATGCATAATGTGTGAAAAAGCATTGAACTCCTGGGTTTTTGTCATTTGATTTTCTTGTATTGAGTCAACAACTTTAACATACCACGAAGTATCGGTTAGACAACATTGTAGCACCATAAGAATTCAACCCAGCAGAACTGGCCTACATTCTGGTACATATTCGACGGACATTCTGCTGTCATGTAACGATTGTATGGGTGCATAATTGTTATACAAAACGATTCTATTCTACATCCGTCGACTAACACCGACCCCAACAAAGGCCTTGCATGGCGTGACCTGCTGGCAAAGCGCGGTTTTATTGGGGGGGGGGGGAGGAGGATTTCGCGGTTTGCTCCGGGGGGGGGGGGGGGATTTGCTGTCACAGATGGAGATTATCCCCCAGATAACATGTCAAAATGGGCACCGTAGCTTCAGAAATAAAAGGCGCTAGTTGATGTGCGCAACTGTAAAATGCTACTTCGGAGGCCCCCGACCGGAGTCCGCAAGGCTGGCTGCTGGCTGAGAGGAGCACTCGCGTCAAGCGTGTTCTACACGGCTTGTGCTGTTTTTGTGATGGTCGTGGTCGGACGATTACCGCCATCGGTTCAGTCAATTAGAGCCGATGGTCACGTTTTTGTAACTTTTCCCTCGAACATCTACGTCGAAGTGGTGGGTTGGGCATTTTCAAGGGTTTTCTGAACCGTAGACGACTGGAAAATTCTTGGCGTTTTGGGGTGCTTGCATGCCACCGACTTGTTTTCATTCACCGATAATGCATCAATAAGACACCGTGTTAAAATAATGAACACTTCTTGTAGGCTGCAGGGTTTGAAACGTGGCTGAATAACGCCATACCACAAGAGAACTAGACCAGAGGCAGGAAAACATATGCCTTGTAATTAAATACATGCACCATGAAGCAAAAACAGATAACGCTCAAGTAAGCATGATGCGCACGCGCTACATGTAAAAGCGTTATTCCTGATTCAGTCAGCAGCGTTTATCTGGACACGACAGCGCAGTGCCCCTTATCTTTGATCCCTTTCATTGAGAAGCATTTCTTAGAAACTTTTTTCCAAACGTATATAATCTTGATCTCATACGCAAATGCTTTGATTGTGGTTCCAGAGGGTAGGGGGCAAACTCGTTGGAGTCGATCAAAACCGCTGGGGAAGCCAAATCAGACTTTGAGGTGGGTGGCAGGGGCCCACCCAAAACCATACAAATCGATATCTGCATCAGAAACCGACACCGGCTTCAAAACGTCTTTGATGCGCCATTATTGGCGATGTTCAAAAGATCTCTACGCGTCATTAGTGAACAGCTAAGATTCTACTTTGAAATATGCATTCACCTGTGTTTCTTTTTCGCGCAGACGTTTGCATCTTCCTAAAAATGTAACCCATTAGATCCACTTTGCGTACCATTCTTTGTGTTCAAAACTCAAGAAAAAATATACAATACATCAGGATCCTACCTAATCCCTGCTATTTCATTTCGCAATGACCGAGGCCTGGGGTCTTTGAGTCATTGAACCTGTAGCAACCTGTGCTTGAGTTACCGGCGTAGAAGACTGCGACGCTTTCCTCGATTCACGCGTTACTTTTCTTTTTGCTTAGAGATTTTTCGATGCCGCAAATTTTTCGGATGTTTTGTCATAATCTTGACATGGATCCTACGGGAGGCAACTACGCATCATTGGCTCTTCAATTTCCTCACGTGACACTTCAATTGATACTTCATTGGGATTTTAGCATGACCACTGTAGCAGCCGTATGGGAAAGAAGACACCCCAACTCCTGCAGAATTTAGCACTACGCCGGTAGCGGTGCAAGGAAAGGGGCGCCCTACAAACCCCTTTGTCTACTCTCCGACTTCCGACCCGTGGCGGCGCCACTGGTTACGCAAATATTTCAAGCGGAATACCGACCAGCCGTTACGGCCAAAAATAACACGCAGAAACGCCAATACGTTAGGTGCTTGGGGGGGGGGGGGGCTGTTAGAATTTTATGCCAATGTGTTGCTCGCTGTATGGAAAATATAGTTATAACACTGTTATGCTGTTTCGGTATGCCCAATCGCCGTAGGGCGGAACAATACTGTGCCGCTACCAGGGGCGTAGTTTCGCAAAATTTGTTTGAAGGGGGGGGGGGCTGCGCAGTGAAAAATGATGCAATGTACGCTCCAAATAGACAAAAACGTGCTCTCTCCGGATATGGCAGACTTTCTAATCCAAGTTGGGGGAGCCCAAGTTCGGACAGGGGAGGGGGGGGGGGGGGACTGAAGCCTTTCGAATGAAAAGGAAACTGCACCCCTGGCTATAGGGGAATTCGTCTCGCACGTGGGTGGGGGGGGGGGGGGAGGGGCTGGTGCGAAGCCGCATTCCAGTAAAGGCTCTGAGTTCTATTCTGACAGTTACAATCGCTGGTGCGCCATAAAATGACGACTTGCGACGCGTTCTGTATGATGTAACAAATACTTAATGCGAAAACTGGGCATTGCAAGCATGTTTCTATTTCAACCGGTGTCCGTACAAGAAGGTGAACAGAACAAAGTCGAATGGAAAATAACAAAAAAGTCAAGGGACAAAAAGTCGATGGAAAAGTCGAAATGAAAAACCAGGGGCTAAAAGAGGATGAGGAAAGTTGACAGGGATAAGTCAAGATAGAGAAGTCAAAAGACAAACGGTTTTAAGGGGCAAAGACGGCAGGAAGCCTCGGGCAACACTGTGTGCTTATGAGGACACACTTGTTACCATAATAACAGCTCGAAAGGCTGGGTAATAACACCATAACCAATGTTTGCTCCATTACGTCGTTTAACCGTGCCCCCTAGTGTACTAAAAGTCGATAACTCGGCTGGGAACTCTGAGGTCACCATGCCGAACACAAGAGGTTGGCTCCCTATTCAGCTGTGAAGAAGGAGAGGACGGATTGGAGCCCTTCCTCCAGTGACCAGAATAAGTGGAAGCATACGGCCTTCCTCGCTGACATGAAACGCCACTGCTCTGCGTCTGGTGCGGGTTCCAACACTGCATATGTTTTTAAAGACAGTGCTTCACATTCACATGGGGTTTTGAACTGAAACAACCATCTTGAAAACCTCTCAGTGCTGTTCACAGCCCTCCCCTTCTGAACACCTGAGCTCCTGTAGTTTCTGAACCACGAGCCTGTGAAAATGGGAAGACAATGTCAGAGAGAGCATTTCAAAGTCACCTTGACAGTCTTGACGTCATCATAGCGTCATTCAAATTCTGCCGTTTCATAGGCCATGCGGCGATCAAGGTCAATAAAAATTAAATAATCTAGCCGTTTATATCTGGCGTTCGTTAGCACGATTCCCAGATATAACGGCTGTCAATTACCTCTCAATCAATGTAGTGCAAGATGAGATGACATAATCAAACCACCACGCATTGAGGGGAATATCATCTACGTATCGGAGAATTGTGCTGTCTAGAGCAGTCTTCTCCACTTAAAAAGCATACCAATAGTTATAAGCGAGCTTTCCTCATCATACCTGACGCTTACCTCATCGTCTTCAAATGTGAAACAATCCATTTAAGATTTCATCAAGCACACGCCGAATCTCCACCTACCTACACAGTGGCACGACGGACACTGTCAATTGTCCCGCGGCCGCCCTTCTCGCTCCGCTCCCTTCACTCTCCTCAACGTAAACGTAGGGGATACCGAAACCGCACGCAGCCGCGTAGCCTTCTTCGGCTCTTCTTTCTCCACCTGTTTTGTTGTTTATTTCCCTTTTGGGTTCCCTCCTTTTCACGTTCGCCCATGTTGCTTTGGAATATCTAAGCGCATTTCCAATTCGCTACCACATCTGAGCGTAATGTTACGTTGTCCAACGCCTCACCATGCCTCATTTGTTACGCTTCCACTGCGCTTTTTCCTGCCCACTCCATCCTCCGTGCGTTAAGTAATTGATAGACTGCCCCTCTCAGCCAAGCCTATTTTGGGTGAAACCTTTTTTGTAATGCTTCGGTGTGCCTATAGCATTCAAGTTCACCGCTTAATGTTGCTTTCTCTTTCTCCGGCAGCTCACCTCGTGCCCTCGGCAGAATTCTTCCCTCATTACAGGTTTTAGGCAATGAACTACTGGTTCACGTAGGGACCAATCAATGTACGCCCCGCGCACTTGTGCACCTGTAACTGAGTGGGCCGGGCTTCACCAGGGGGAGGAGGCAATTAATTTATTGCACACTCGCTCCGCCCAACGGCGATGATGGTAGTTGTGAACTTGCAATTGTCGGCAGCAAGTAAAATGCAAAAGCAATATAAAACACTTTTTGCCAGAAAATTCAAATAATGTTTTTTAAAATTCTTGCTATAAAATATTTTACTAGGAGGTTTATTTGTATTTTGTTGGTGATATATTTTACATCTATAATCCAATATAATGTTCTAGCATTGTGGAATTGCTGCAGCTAATAAGTAGCCTCATCGGAGCTTCGGTAAACAGTGAGGTAAATATCTTAGCATGTTGCGTACAAAGTCTGCATAATCAAACTAAGAGCACTTAATCGTAATAGATCTGCTATTAAGTGCAGTCTAGCCTTATATCTATGTGTCTTCTTTGCATTGCATTTTCATGGACACCCTCAACGCTCTGTAGCGGGTGTTACCTCCATACTATAAAAAGCATGAAATAATTTCATATTTTGTGTCTTAAAAGGAGTATGCAACAATGACGAAACTGATTCAAAGGTATAATCTGGTAAAATTATTTCTTAAAAATAGCAGCCATCCTTTACCTAGATGGCGCGCGCATCGCCTTTCCCACGGGCGCTCCTCAGGGCCGTTGGCCGAGAATGACGACTAAACAAAGAACGCCATTGGTTGGAGAACTCGGCTCGGAGGCCGTAAATGAGTGTGGGACGGCGGATTTTATGGTTATCATACCATTGACGTCTTGTATTTGAATGAGTTATTATTTTCATCTGTGACTTACGGTCAGACATCAAGAACCACGTGAGAGCACGAGGTGGCTGTGATAGCGATAGTGTGGTGTGGGCTTGTGTGAGTGCTTCAAGTTATGGAGAGTCAGCAGTATGGCATGGGCTATGGAATGCAGCCCCAAGTGGATCCGAATGGACAAAATCATACCGAAGGTGAACCAAGGAAACAGGATATCAACGAGATACTGCAGCAAATCATGACCATCACCGAACAGAGCTTGGACGAAGCTCAGGCCAGGTTGGTGTGATCGCATGCTGCATCGTGCGTCCAATGCCTGGTAATATTTGAGTGGATTGACACCCATGGATCCCATAATCTTGTGTCCAGTGAGGAAAAGCGTCAAACTCCTCAAATTATGTGTCTGTACTCATGACACCATACATTAATTTTATATTGCCTGATCGCCTTCGGAAGCCTTGAAATTTGGTTGGGATGGAGCAGCGCAATTATTGTGGGAAAATGCAGTTAGCACGAAACTGCTCGGCTATTATTGGGGTGGTTTGAGATGACTGACGACGGAAAGGTGATGCAATTGCCACACGGCTGAAAATTTTCGCAGGTTGCACTTATCACTTACGACGGATTAATGCTGCAAGCATTGGCTTCGACAGAATGCGCGCCGCCTCATACAGCGCCGCGAGCCCTCGTCAAAATCCAGTTCTTTTCTCCATTGCGTATAAACATGTCTATATTGAAAGGCGTGACACACCATCAATTGGCAAAAATTGTATGATTTCTGGGTCAGACGTTGAATCTTGTAAATGAGACCTAGTGCCGTCTTTTCAGCCGGTGACTGTTTATTGACGGGTAGGTACCTACCTGGCGATAATGCTTCAGGGCTATCACGTGCAACCATTCATATCACATTTGCTATGCATGGACCCCAGGTTCAAGTGTTCGCTGCTTGACGTGGATTTTTTTGTGGGTGACGCGATGTCGCCAAAGCGCTTTACGGGAACAATGTAAGCAAGCGTCCAGTTCATGGCAACATTATCCAATATGACGGGCATTCGTGATCCCGCACCCGGGTGGAAACCAGGCTCTTTTGCGACACCCAGTGCCCGCGCTGATGGCCACTGTGGTTTGTCAGTCCGTCAGCCGGTGTGGGACTGCGAGGCGCCGCGTAAGGAACAACGGCACGGCCGAGCCGGCGCTCTCGGGCCGGCGGCGGCCGAGCGGCGCTGGCGGCCGGGAGTTCCGACTCCAGGCCGGCGACGGCGCGGCCGGGCCGCCCGGCGGCGCTGGCCAGCTCCAGACTCTTCTGCCGCCCGTGTGCACACGGCGGCGCTGGCCAGCTCCAGACCCCTCTGCCGCCCGTTTGCACACGGCGGCGCTGGCGGGCACGCTAGAACGGAGAGACGTGGCACGGGTGTGCAGAGAGGTGCTCAACGTTAAGCTGGCCGCTAGATCGCCGCGCGCCATCCGAACAGAACGGAAATGCCGGTAATCAGGCTTCACTAATGCTGTGGGCAAGGCGAAGGATCTTAAGCTGGCCTTGAATCCAAGAGTGCTGACGCATGTGACGGGTCGAATCTGAGCCTGGTGTCAAATCCGTCATGTTTGCTCTGCCGTGTATTTGGGCTCGTCAGTCTCAATCAGCTGCTTTGCTGTCATGCACTTGTCCGAGGAGGAAAGTTTGGCGACGATTTGTGTGGCTCTCGCAACAATTTGAAAATATTTCCAAGCTCTGCCTGGTACGATCCTGCCAGTAGAAAAGTGCTGGTATTGCTCTCGTTATTTAATACATTAGCTGATGCTTTACATCAAGGTATGCTAGGTTCATGCGTTTGCTTGATGGATCCCTGTGGGAAAGTTTCATCTTGTGGAACACTGAGGCAACATGTAAGTTAAAACGAGGTTTATTTTAAGTACAAATTTTTGCTGCACGTTCAAATAACAACGACCAAATATGTGCCTAGGTATCATTTCGATACAAGGTTTGCGAGCGTTGCACGGACACTATGTGGCAATAGGTGATCTTGTAACAGTATGTCACAGAACTAAATATCAGTTCCTAAAGGGGCTTAAGAAAGATGAAATTATAAGACCTTGTGTTGCAATTCAGCATGTCCATGTGAGGATAAGCCAGATCTCCCCACCCCACGTCGTGATCATGGTCGAGTTGCTAATTGTCTATGTATCGCAATAGTGGCTGATACGAACGTATTATATATTGTCGCGTGCCACAGTATTATCAAACAAATGGGAATATCGCTGTGCTCTATCACCCTGCAATCGATGTGTGTCGGAACCCTTTTGCACAGACGAACATGCATACCCAACGTATTGAGGTCGTTCTCGTTACATGCGTCGGGGCGTAGCTTTAAATGACGCGGACATAAAATCGTGATATTTTCATGTCAGCTTACGAGAATCACCGTCATTAAATCATTTCTTTAAGTCTTCTAGCAAATACAGTTGCACCCAATTTTGTACAAGCCCCGAGCTATTTGCGGCTCATGTGTAGCCCGTAGATCGGTTTTGTGGACTTATTACGGACATCTGTCATCGGCTGCCAGGCTGCCGGGCCTTAAAATGATCAAAGGTTAACGTCCTCAGTGAGAGAACCGTCGTTCAGGGTGCTGGTGATTCTGGTTCCTGGCTGGGTGACAAGTCTGGTGCCATCCGACAGACGACCGCTACCCTTGGGCTGTGCTGGAAAATTGGGCGTCATGGGAAATCACGAGCTGCTCTCGCCGACGTTACGTGTACACGCGCAGTTAGTGCCCGTGAAGATGTCTGTCTCGCTCCATGTGCCACTGCCGTTTAAGGCTCGTGATGATTACGGTGTTACTATTTGTGTATTCTTACGACGGACATGACTAGTGTGCCTCTATTTTCACGACCATGATCCGGACGAAAGCAGTCGAAACATTTGCGTCGCGTTAATGAGCCTCAAACCGCTTTCGGGAGGCTGGTTTGACGCAGACCGTATGGTAATGGTATTCGTTTGCCGGTAATAATGGTTTCTGATGAAGGATTGCTTGAACATTAAAACCTAAACCAGCGCAATCAAAACTTGTGAGCGAAGTGGTCAGGCGGTTTGGGCCCAGAGCTGGCGCTCGCGAGAAAGGAACCTTGCGCACAATCAAAAGTTATTTTTTGGCAACCGGTTTGAGGTTTTTCTCTGTGTCACAAATGAGACAGGAACCTCGCGTTCTATCTTTAAATATCTCGTTGTTTTAACTCTGGTGAGAATGATTGTTCTTGAGCTTTGACCTCTTGGGGCTCTGAGCCTCTCAAGATACTTGGTTGTGGTTTGCCGAAGCTTTTAATGGACTGCTGGTATTTTGCGATTTCCTGTAAGTGTTAATACTTACCACCCCCACATTTTAGAGCTTTGTTTCCATTCCAGTCGATGCCCTCTCCAGGGTTAGCTTTAGATCGGGAATCAAATTGAGATGTTTGTGTGTAGCACTTTTGTGTCATGACAGGGCGCCTCTTCATCTGCAGGGACATACACGCGCATTAGGGATTATTATACAGCGAGTCCGCCACGGGCCGGAGGCATAGGTCTACGAAATTGGAGGGAATAGATCAGCATTGGGAACAGTGGGGCAAACGGAAATCTTAAGGCGATATCCTGACCTACAAGTGACATTTTGGGTGGGAAAACGGGAAAACGCCTGCATTATACGCACACAATGGGAGAGGACAACTCGTGTTGCTCGTGTTGGGAAAATCGGGAGAGACATGTTTCTACCAACCCCATTTGTTACATTCATGGCCAGAGATGATTGGGCGGGGGGGGGGGGGGCATAAGGGCATTTTAAGGGGCACTCCTTTGTCATTGTCATAGGTGTGATGTCAAATCTAACAAAGTTGTGGAACGAACCTTGACCTCCCTTCCCCTCACTCTCCCCTGCCCCAACTTATAATTCTAGCTTCGTTGCCCGAGGCCGATGAAACATCTTCCAAGAATTAAGCACCCGTCAGGAATAGCGGGATAAAGGCATGGCTACACTTACAAACACGCATCCATGCCAGGGAAACTAAGTTGTGTTTATGAAACACATTTATTCGCAATGCACCCATATATTATCAGCCGACTGTAAACTGACCGCGGGCTCATCCAACAGCGAACCACCTCATTGCCACAGGTCACTGATACACATGTATAACTACACGTGTCTTCTGCACTGTAATCATACACGCGGTCTATTCGTGAACCAACATTTATCCAGTAAACCTCTCGATGACCTATACATAGCTGACTCTTTTTGCCTGAGCTTGGACGTCAGAAATATTACATTGCAATTAAGAAGCATTGAAATTGGAGGAGTAAGTGTACCCAGCTTTTGACTGCTTTCTGGTGGAGAAAATGGCCGTTGCATTCATATCGCCCGTAACTCAAACATCGCCAGCATGCGCTGACAGGTGAGGACCTCCAACAAATCGGAAAAGGACATTACTTAGAAATAAATAAGGCTGCGCCGCGTATATGATGAACAGACTTAATGGCAGTTTGAAGGTAGAAAACTCCAGGTTATCACGTCAGACTTTTTCAGCGAATATGCCAAATTTTCAAAACCTTAGAAGTACCCGAAGTGAACTGCTTACTTTCCCCTCGTGGTGATGCCCGTGGATTAATGGCTGCCTGAACTACGGAATGCATTTTGTTCGCTGCATATAAATTATATCAATTTAACAGCCTGACAAGACAACGGTATATAATGATAGGATGGCGGCAAGGGTTGAGTTTCCTATTCGGGTATGGGAGCTTCAGTCCCCCAACTCAAGGAAGAAAGTGTGCCAGATCGGGGAAGAGGCGTGTTTATTGGCATATCTTGGGGTTTATTGGATTATTTTTTACTGTTCTCCCTCCCCCCACACTCATTCTGTTAGAGCATGCTCCAGGATGGCAGTGAATATCAGAAGTGGGGTCATGGCGATTAGTAGGCGTGGGTGCGAGACAATTCGGGTCACCAACTGGTGGGGAAAATGTAACCTCATCCTTCATGAGCATTAATGATTTGTTCATACTGGCTTCAGGCATCTTTCTACGTCCAATGAGCGCAGAAAGCACTGGTCCTCAGTTCTTGAATATCATTAAGAACTGAACAAGTGCATATAAAGGCTGGCGTGAAATGTGTTGGCTTTGACTTATCAAAAGAGCTTTGGAAAAGGTGCGTCTTCGTCTCGCGTGATTGGTGGAACCTTATAATGGATGCGACTCAAGTTATCACCTAATTTAAGCTCTTAAAGGGGTTTCGCTTTTTCACTTCACATTTGAAAAT